CACTGAGAGTTTCTTCATGCAAAGCAACTGTAGCCCCTTGCTTCTGTTTCTAGGAATAAAAGGCAGCGGGCTTTTTTTTTACACTCTGTGGTTTCCGTGTCTTTTCTCCAACACTCCACCTTTCAGTTTCAAAGGTGATCTGGACCTCTTTGCCACGGGCCATTTCATCCCGTTGGCCACCAGTATTGCCCATTTTTTTGAAACTGGAAGTGGGGTTCCAACCACATCCCATTTCATTTGGGGTTTTTAGTAGCATCTGCAGCCCTGGCACCGCTTCTTGGGCGGACCGGATCAGCCCCCAGACCCGCTGAAGTTGCTCATCTCTGCCTTCAGAAATGTAGGATGGCAGAAAATTGTAATCGACTGGAGTTCCCTTCGGCACTTTTACTTTGGACGTTTTTCTTTTCAGGTGGAGGTTGTGGAAGGCGTGCTGAAGTGTCCAGACACTGGCCGCGAGTTCCCCATCACGAAGGGTATACCCAATATGTTGTTGAGCGAAGAGGAGACATGAACAGTTTGGAGCTGGTCTCAAAAGGACTGATGCCCATGGAAGGGCAAACCCCTTCATTTTTTGGTTTGGAAAAAAGAAGCTGGAGCAGGTTTCATGTGGTTGTTTTGTCCCTATGTGTAGAAATAAATGAGTTATTTGATGTGTGTATGGTTTGTTGATTTAACTGTACAGGACTCTTGTCTGCTGCTTGTTAGAGCCTCATCCACCTTGCTTTTCACACTGTAAGGCCAGCTGTTGCTGTACCTCCTTTAAATCTCTGACCATTGTCCTCACTGGTCGGGCAGAGAAGCGTCTCAAAGTCATCTTCAGTCAAGGTTGGATGGGATCCCCCCACTTACCTCTTCTAGAATGGCTGCCCTTCTGATAGGTGGTACGTAGCTTCCCACCGCTTTGGGGCAACTTTTGAAAAGATGTTGTTCCTCTGTCACCTCAAGGCTTCTACTGCCTGATTCTGCTCATGGGAGCAGATGACCAGGGATCAGTACAGTAAGACCCCTGCATCTGCAGTTTCACTCATCTGCCGTCTGAAAATATTAAAAACATGAACAGGAAAAAAACTAAAAATGTATTTTCACAAAGTATTTACCAGAATTGGACACTAGAGGGAACCAGATCCCATGCTATGTATTATTGTCTGACTCCCTCTAGTGGCTAGTTCTGGTGATACAGGAGAAAATAACTTTCTGGATTTTTTTTCTTTTACCCTGCTCTGTATAGCATTCACTAATATCCAGTTTTCAGCATCCACAGAGGGGCCTTGAACCAACCCCTGTGAATTTTAGGGGTCCTACTGTATTTCCTTATCCTAATCTTCTGTCCATCAATGTTAGATTCTTAACCTCTATTTCTCTAACATTCCACCCTCCTGACACTGTTGAATTGTAGCTCCCTTCACCATTGACACGGGCCATTCCACATTTGTTGCTCTCCAACCAGATGTTAGATGTCATATTGACCGCCCCCTTTTTTTTAACCTGTGGCTGCAACTGCTCTAAAGTGTGATATTAGGTAGCATTAGAACCAGTATCCCAAGTACTTCAACCAGCAAGTTTTTCCTTTGGCAGAAATCAAAATGCAGTTGGGTTATTTTTCGAAAAGATGCATCTGTTTTAACTTGGGTCACTGCCTGCAAGCACCCTAGTGCAATTTCCCAAAAAAACACACACCTGTACAGTTGTGCCTCGTTAGATGATGATAATCTGTTCCACTGAAATCGCTGTCTAGCGAAATCATTGTCTAGCGAAAAGCAAATCGTTGTCTAGCGAAAATCAGTTTACGAAGCAGGGACCAAACATTGTCCAGCGAAATTCCCCCATAGGAATCACTATTTTGCGAATCGCTATAGCGATCGCAAAAAGTCAATGTCTAGCGAAAAAACTGTCATGCGGGGTAACTGTCTAGTGAGGCACCACTGTAATTTGAAACAATAAATAAATTAAAAACACTCTCAATGCGTTGTGTTGGCGAACGCTGATGAGAAATGCAATCTACGGACGATAGGAGAACCATATGTTTCCCAGCCAATTCTAGCTCAGTTGATCTTGGGAACAATTGGAAAAGGGTTTAATTCTCTATAATTTGTGTATTTCCCCAACCTGGACACATGTTATTGTGAACAAACACAGACAGCCACCGACTTTCTTTGGGCTGTAGAAGCCTTTTTTTTTTAATTTGTTCAGTAATAGAGCTCTCTATGCATGTGTATGTGTAGCCGCCTATACACAAATCAGAGGTATTTATAATATGTACACACACATAATTTAATAATAATAAAAAAAAATCTCCAGCATCGGCTCTCGCCCCCCTCCTCGCCCCTTCCCCACCACGGAGGGGGAGGCTACAGGCTGGCCAGCCTTCGGAGGGGGGGGAGCAAAGCGAGCCAGAAATGGGATAGATCGCTTTTTTTCCTGCAACGAATATACAGTAAAATATATTGCTATGTACACAGCTCTTAGCTTTAGGCCAAGCAGCCTCCCCTCCTAAATTTAGCCCAGGGATGGCGATTAGGCAGGCCCCTCTGGCTGCTGAGGGACCACAGCTCCCATCAGCCAGAAGTGGCACAGCCAGGGGGGTGAGGAATGATGGGAGTTGTAGTTCCATAACCTCAGGAGGGTGAGGTGTTCCCCTACCCCTGGTTTACCGGGTAAGGAAGGAATGGAAGGGATGTGGGGTGAGTTTTATTATCAGTATTATTGCTTTGGGCAGACGATGGGGTGGGGGGTATGATCGGTCTAAGGCGGGAGGCTTTTTTTGGCCAGGGAAGGACCAGATGGCTCGGCTTCGTATGGCAGAGAGGGGAGGGAAGATGAAACCACACCTGAAAGAAAAGCAGAGATGCTTTCGGAAACTATTGCTACAAGGGAATTAAGAAAAAATGAGCTTTGCCGGAAGCAGCTGAAAAGCCCCCTGCCTCTTTTTTCTTCCCCCCAGGAGAAGGAAGAGGTTGGGTCCCTCACCCCAACCCTCCGCCCGTCTCCAAAAGTTAAGGCAGGCTCCGTGCAAAGCACAACGTAAGACACAGGATGCCCCCTCCCGCCCCTGCCCCCCCTCAACATTGTGGGGAGTCTCCCCTCCCCAACGTTTATCTTTATTGCTTTAAAGTGATAATGCAAGACTCCCGGAAAGAGGGAGGGAGGGGATACCGGGAAGGAAAAAGGATACGCGGTTGGGGGGGCGCGCGTCCCTCCCCTGAGAGCTGTCGAAAGCCAGCTCAGCACTAAAGAGACAGAAAAGAGACCCATACACCCCCAAAATAGCTCTATGCCGTCTCTCCACACACCGCCCCTCATGTTTTTTTGTGATTTCTGGAGTCAGGAAGTTCTTTTGCGCACAAGGGTGGGGGGGAGAAGCGATCCAAGTGGCCCTCCCAGACGACAACCCCCATAAAACCAAGGGAGCATGGCTGGGGATGATGAGAGTCGTAGTCCCAAACACCTGGCAGGCACTCGGGAGGAGCCACATCCCCCACCGCGTTAAGGTGCATCGCGCTGGGCCCAGCCCAGAGGCAAAGAGAAGGTGGAGTCAGAGGTGGGGGGGGCATGGCTCTTCCAAAGGAGGAAAATCCCGCCAGGCCGGGCTATGCCAAGGACCCCCCCCGGCACTTGCGTGCCAAGGCTAAGCCCAGATCCTGCTCCTCCTTCGTGCCACATTAATCCACTATGGCTTCCAAGCTAGGGCTACTGTAGTTAATACCCCTCCCCTCCCCGCCCCCTTAATAAATTAAAATTAAAGTATGGCTTCCAGTGTGAATGTAAAATTTTGCTCTGTCTCCATAACCACCGAGGCGTGAGTCCCACCCTGGCCGCCCCGCTGGCCCCTGTTGCATGGGTCGGCCCAGTCTTCGTGGCCTCGTCCACTCGCTTGGCGTTCGCCTCGGGGCAAAAGCAATGGGCAAGTGGTATGTTTTGCATACACAGAAATGCACTCGACACGATGCAGCGGCGCAGCGGCAGGAGATCCGAGAGAGACGGGAAAACCTGCTTTTCTCTCCCTACCACCACCGTCATCCGTTCCTCCCTCCAGGCCTTCCTTCGGCTAACCCCCCCCTCCCCGAAATCCGTCTCCCTCCGGCTGCGTCGCTCAGTCCATCATGGCCTCCAGCATCTCCAGGAAAAGCTTATGCATGGGAACCTTGCCCTCCAACTTGAGGCTGTAGAAATGGTGGAGGACCCGGGTGGCCGTCTGGCGCAGGAGGGGCAGAGTCAGGAGGAGGCGGCCGGCGCGGCGCGGCTCCTCAGGGCGCCGCGATGCTTCGTATTCCAGCAGCGCCTCGTGGAGTACGTCCCGGAGCCGCTGTACAGCTGCCATGTCCTCAATATGCACAGAGTCTGGAGGAAACAAGGGTTGTGGAAAGAGAAGATATGCATGGATGGAGAAGCCGCTGGATACGTGATCAAGGGCAGACGGTACTCAGGTTTACAGGCTTCTACTTTTTATTACAACTGCAGGATGCATGGAAAGACATACAGAAGGAAACCCACCCACCCCCCAAATCTCTGCAGGAAATTGGTTCCAATCTCCCTGCGGATGCTGAAAACCGCAGATAATAGTGAACCGTAGACAAATAATAGTCTCTGGCTGCCTCTAGTGGTTAGTTTTGGGAACTACATTGTTGAAATGTGTCCATCTGGGTTTTTTTTTTCTTTTAATATTTTCAGACCAGGGATAAGTGAAACGGTGAAATACCGATCCTAAAGATACGGGAGTACTACTGTACCTTGATTTCTATATTTAAGACATATTTAAAATTTAAATAACTCTGAGCCTAGGAATTAGTACAGTATTTAGTAAAGAAAACAGCTCAGAACCTTAAACAAGGGTACTGGAAGGTCAGTTCTGTTCTTGAGCAATCTCCAAAAATTCCCCAGGCAAAATTCAGGCTGCAAAACATACATGTAATTTTTGCTCACCCGGAGAACGGCCTTCCTCTGTGGCTGCATGGCCTTCTCCGGCCTTGATTCCTGTTGTAAACATTTTTAAAAAGCCACAGTGCTTCCACGAAACCATCCTCTATTTGGCTCTAATAGAGGGAGTCTGCCAAAGATCGACAACTCCCAGGAAGCAATATGGAAGCTTCCTTTTAATTTCTTAAATTATTACTATTTTTACATTAGCTACAGGAAGCAAGGTCAGACGCAGGCCGTCCTCCAGATGTGTGAAATGTAGGTGTCTGTAGGTTATGTTTCTGTGATCTGAAACTCGCAGAATTCTGCCTAAGAAGTTGTTGCAGAATTCTGCGAGTCAAAAAATCAAAAGAGCACCCTAGATGTTACAGAGACTGGAAAAAAATTACTTTTTTGGGACCACAATTCCCAGAATTCCCTAGCCAATGAGGCTTGCATTCACCCAGCGGGACTCACCGGAGTTGGCAAGCGCCAAGGCCTTCAGAAGTACGTACTCTTCGCGCTCCAGGCGCAACGCACGGTACTTGCGCACCAGCTGGAGGACCACCCCGCTCAGCTCCAGCAGCCCCGCCGTCCGGGCCGCTTCCTCGTCAAGCGCAAAGTCCTCGGCAAAGACAATCTCGTCCTCGCAGGGCAGCGAGCGCCAGGCCACTCCGAGGAGCAAAACCTCCAGCCACACACTCTGCAGCACAGACATCTGGTCGGCCAAAGAAAGGGCCGGGAATCCTGCACCGGGGAAAGAGCGCAGCAAATTGTCAGTAATCGATCAGTCACATGACAGACCCAGCTTTTGCAGTTCGGACTAAAGGTGAAGGAGGTAGCAGATAAAAGGACTGTAATGCAACAATAAACAAAATAAGCTCAGACAGGCCAAAAATACTACGCCTGGTGCCATATTTTCCCGTGTATAAGATTACTGTATACTTTTGTCTAAAATCTTTAAATTAAAAATTGAGGCTTGTCTTATACACGGAAGTAAGTTGAGGAGAGAACAAAAACAAGTGGAGGGGAAAGCAGGGATCAAAGCGATCCTGCAGCACTTTGATCCCTTTCCCCCTACACTTCCTAAGCCACACTAACTTTTCGGATTGGAAAAGGGGTGTGTCTTATACATGGGGGCATCTTATATACGGAAAAAATATGGTATTTTAAAAAACTAATATGAGCCAATTTTTATTTTAATATGTTGCATTTTGCGAAGCGCAGATCAGCTGTCAAAATCGCTGTCTTCCGAAAAACGGTCCTGAAATCACCCGTTTTGCGAGTCGCGGACCTAGCTGTCAAAATCATCGTCTTGCGAAAAACGGTCCCGGAAAAAAAAAAGTCTTGCGAAGCACGTCCAGCGAAAATCGCCCATAGGAAACACCGAAGCGTGCAAAGCAGCTGCAAAATAGGCCAGTGTGATTTTAGGATGCATTAACAGAAACACAGTCCCCAAATCCTGCAAGGTGCTAGTCCCCCGCTATTCAGCACTGGTTAGGACTGATCTGGAGTACTGTGTCCAGTTCTGGACACCGCACTTGAAGAAAGATATCTGCAAATTGGAACAAGTTCAGAGGAAAGTGACAAGGATGACCAGGGGACTGGAAACCAAGCCCTAGGAGGAAAGACTGAAAGAACTGGGCATGTTTCGCCTGGAGAAAGGGACACTTTTCAAATCCTTGAAAGGTAGTCAATACAGAGGAGAGGCAGGATCTGTTCTTGATCGTCCCAGAGTGCTGGATACGCAATATTGGGCTCAAGCTACAGGAAGCCAGACTGAGGCTATCAGGAAAAACTCCTTAACTGTTCGAGCAGTATATAATGACATCAACGATCTTGAGAGATTGTGAGCACTCCAACTCTTGGAAGCAATGAAGACAAAATTAGACAGCCAACATGTTCCATCTGTTTTAATCTGAATTCCTGCCCTGAGCAGAGGGTTGGACGCGATGGCCATAGAGGCCCTTTGCAAACTCCGTGATCCCCTGATTTGATCCTTCTGGCAGCGTAGCTGGTCACCAAGGGCGATGTCATTAAGAGCGATGTAGCCATCATCCAAGCTCCAGAATAAAGGAGGAGGATGCAGTGGTAGGATTTAGGCCCACATTATGAGGGACATCTTAATGAGAAAGAATACAATTATTAAATCCCCCACCTTTCAGATTTTTACACAGCTGGTTTAAGAAACACACACGAAGGAAAGCCGGCTCATCAGCCACAGAGCAAATGGGGGGGGGAGAAGTGTGTGGTCTTGCAGATGATTAAAATCAGGCCTGGGTTCGAGTTGCAGCCCCAAGCCCCAGTATCAGTTTATATACTACTTGACCAGGCTGGTTTCCAAAATGAAATCATCATCATCCTAGAACTGTAGAGCTGGAACCCATTGTCTAGCCCCCATCAAGGAGGCACAGCAGGGGATCAAACTCTTGATAGCCTATTCCACTGCTAACAAACCACTATCACTTTGTCTATTATCTATATCCCTCCCCGCGGTTGCAACCCCATGTATAAACATGACGGTCATCCAGCCTCACTCGTATGTCTGAGGAAGTGGATTTGATCCCCTGAGCTATAAGGAGTCAGTATGGTGTCCTGGTTAGCGTTGGACAAGACCTCCAGAAACCTGGATCTGAAGCCCCAGTCAGTGAAGAAACTCACGGGGAGACCTTGGGACAGTCACATTCATCCCGCCTGACTACCTCACAGGGTTGTGTTGAAGATAAAAGCAAGGAGAAAGAAAGCCAATGCACATTGAAGGAGAAACGGGTGACAGGTGTTAAATTATGATAGATTAAAACCATTACAGTGGTGCCCCGCAAGATGATGTTAATTCGTTCCGCGAAAATCGCTGTTTTGCGCAAACATCGTCTTGCGATATTCGGTTCCCCATTGGAATGCATTGCAATCCATTTAATGTGTTCCAATGGGGGGAAATTGTCGTCGTTTCGCGAAGATCGGCCATAGGGAAAACCATTTTGCGAAGCGCTGATCAGCTTTCAAAATCGCTGTCTTGCAAAAACGGTCCCGAAATCACACGTTTTGCGAGTCACGGACCTAGCTTTCAAAATCATCATCTTGCGAAAAACGGTCCCAGAAAAAAAAAAGTCTTGCGAAGCACGTCCAGCGAAAATCGCCCATAGGAAACACCGAAGCGCTGCAGCGATTGCAAAAAACTCATCGTCTAGCGAACAAACTGTTTTGTGAGGTAATTGTCTAGCGGGGCACCACTGTATTCCCCTTCTAAGGCAGGGCGCCTGCTCTGTTTCGTGCTTTCTAAGCAGACGCCATTGATTTTGGCTGAGTTTGGGAACGGTCCAGTAGTCTGTTTTGAACCACACACAGGTGTGCGTTTGCCGCTTTCGCCCTCACCTGGTATGTTTTTGGCCCAGCCGATGATGACCACAATCTCCCGATCCGCCAGATCACACAGAGTGCTTGCTGCCTTGGCCGGGCCGTCGGGGAGCGCGGGATCGGGCATGGCGTACAATTTCTCCGGCTCAGCCACCAGCAAGTTTGACACCATCGTGTTCATGGGAGCTGCGGAGGGGGGGG